AAAAAAAAAAAAAAAAAAGAAAAAAAAGAAAAGAATAATTTCCAGTTTTACTTGTGAAATCTAAAAAAAAAATTCACAAATTTATTATTTTAAAATAAGCAAAAAAAAAAAAGTTTTTTTAAATGTAGCTAAAATAAATTACGTTTTAAATTTACGCTTTTGTGTTAGAAAATCCAATTTATATCAATTTATATAGTGGGTATTCTGGTTCTACAAACCCATTTGCTTATCTTTAAGCCAAAAATTTTCTTTTGCTTTTTTTTTTCTAACAACTCAACTTAAGATGTTTAGATAAAAAAAATTTTTATAACAAAAATTTTATTGATCTAGGTTAATCATTCTAGGACGAGGGGGAGTGGTAATTTGGGGAGTGGGGAGGAGAAAAGAAAAGCAAGAAAATAAAGGGACTATCAAACTCAATGCAGACAAATTGTAGCTGAAGATACCAACAATAATACATTTTTGAGTAAAAGTTAGTAACAGTTATTTCGAGATCACAGTTGCTGAAAAAACTGTAAAGGTTAGCAGTAGTAAAGTTTATGCTGTTGATTATCAGACAACAAAGCTTAAAACTTTAAAAGAGATAAAATTTGTTAACTCAAAGATTGCATTTAATGATGACGTCAAATCGAAACTTCAGTACTGTATGTTAGCAGTTTAAGTTAGTTGGATGTACATCCTGAAAGAAATAATTCCAGCAATAAGGCAGTTGGAAAACTATAGAAATGTCTTAAAATTTCTTTTTTTTTTACAACGTTGCACTACTTTACCTAACTTCAGTAATTGTCTTAGTTGGTAAATTATAATTCTAACAAAATCACTGCTTTAAAACCTTTTAAGGTTTTTCAAGAGAAGCTTTAAATTTAAGCTTTTTTAAAGAGATACAAAAATTGGCTAATCATTACTTTATTGTAACACCACTGTTCGAAATCCTTGTTGCTTTTCATCATTTACTCGTAGTATCTATTTCATAAATAAATCACGAAGAACTTTCAAACACACCTTTAAGTCTCAGTGTTCCAGCTAAAAAAACTAGAATAACATTGACATAGTGCTATTTAGGCCAACCAATAGACTATGATTACTGTTCAAAAGAAGAAGAAAAATTAGGAAGGAAAGAAAACTCTATACAAGGGAATAAGTATTCCGCAAATTTTATGCATACATTAGAGGAGCATTTTAAAATTAAATTTATTGAAATTTAGCAAATAACTAAATTTTTATCACTAAATTTGACAGATTTTTTAAAGTGCATTTTTCTCATTCAACTTTGCCAACTCCTTACCAATACCATACGTTCACAATAAA